GGTGTCTTCCAGCGCGCTGGCCACGACCTCCCGCTGAACATCGACGAACCCGGCCGAGCGGTGTCCAAAGTGGACGATGGCGTCCAGAGTGCACGCAAAGCGTTCCGGGTCGGTGACGCTGTGTGGATACGCCGCCGAGGTCAGCCGACGCGGTGCACGGACGTGTCGCGGCGGGGCGTGGTGACCCGACTGTTACCGGCACCACTGGTGGAGGTGGATGGTGCCCCGTGGCATGTGCGCTGCGTCCGACGACGGTTCGAGGAGGTTGGCGACACAGACAGTATGAGTGACTGTGAGTCCGAACCTGAAGACTGCCTATCAGAGATCAGGACGCTGCGGCTGCACGAGAAGCCGTCCGGTTCGGTGTCGGGGACGGGACAGGACACTGACCCCCCGCCTCCCGAGCCGCCCGATACGGGAGCACCGGTGGAGACGAGTGAAGATGCAGCTGACGTTCCGAGTGAGACGTTCAGCGGTGCACGGGAGGACGCTCAGAGTGAGGTTACGGAAGCCCAACGAGAACAGAATGGCCAAACCGTACTGCGGCGTAGTACACGTGTGAGAAGAGCCCCGGAAGAGCTGTATGGACAGAGTGTGCCAAGCGAGTGTATCGATGTTGATGATGAATAATGATGATGATTACTGATAATCAGGTGGAGGTGTAGTCAGCGGTCATGAGTTGAGTGAATGACATGATGTGTGATGTAGCATGATGGACACAATAGGGAATGTGAGTAGCGTATGAGTCAGGCGCGCGGCGAGACTGAGCTGCGGGACGTGACCCGGTGACCCAGTGTGAGTCATCCGCCGCCGCCGCCGGACGTCGGGGCGGCCGGGTTACGCCCCCTGATCAGTTGCACAGGGGATGACGTATGACAATGTGATTGGCTAATGATGATGCGCGATGACGTGTGCGTGAGAGCTATGGTCTGGTTGGGAGTGTGATTGCTGGGCAGTTGGCTGAGAGGCTCGGAGGAGAGCGGAATATAGCTTTCTTGGTTACGTGGAAGCAGGAGTTCTAAATCGCTACAACAACATGCCTCCTATGACTCCTACCGTGTAATCCCTCAGCGCACCGGCCTTCCACTTCAGTTTCCTTGTTCATCTATCCAGTTCAGCCTCGCTTTTTAATTATGGCAGTTACATAACATTCCTTTCTCCACATTTCTTCGTCACATTCAGACCGACCGGTCTCGTGTCTCCACCAGCTGATCTTCTGTGTCACCTTCCGCGGATCACTGACGACTCCCTGCGCCTCCCGTTCTACAGTCTTCCCCGCCTAGCGCCGCCGCGCCGAGCCGGTCCGGAGATCCAGCCATGAGCCAGCCCTGGCGGCGGCGCGGCGGTGCGGGCCTCTCGACCGCGGCCGGCGCCGCGCCGATTTGGTAACCGAGTGGCCATGAACGGCTGGCAGTGACCCACTTTCGGCAGTAGAAGTGGTACCAATGTCAGCGGGCCGGCGGCCATGGCCGTCCCGCTCCCCGCCGATGGAGTGCGGTGGCGGCCGCGGAGGCTGGGGCCGCGTGACGAAGAGGCAGTGGTTGTGTGACAACAGTGGCACGACATAATTAACCGCGTGCTTAGTACGCTGTCAGTGGGTAGACAATGGTGGCATGTGATATTTAATGAGCCTGTCTTGATTCCAGAATATAACGCGACGTGGGATTTGATAGCTGGATCCGTGGATGATGGATGTAAGATATTTCATCCATCTGAATCTTACATGTGTTCAGAGCTTAGACATACTGAGCAATATCCGTTGTAAAAAGGACAACGGAAAGGCACCGCTACGCACGTGCGCTCCAGTCAAGACCGAGGAGGCCGCGACGGTGGTGGTGACGAGCTCCAACTCACAAAGGCAGCCCGACGCAGCTTTTTTGTGGCGAGATGCGTCCTCTCTCGGGTCGTGGAAGGGACTCATCAGCTAGCCTTGCCAGTGGGGCTGCGTCTATCCGACCCGGCTCTCGGCATCGGAGATGGAGCCGCTGTCAGGGAGCGAGCTGCATCCGCACCCGGTCCACTAGAATTTGAGTCCAGAGCCAGTTATGACCAAACGTCGGAGATGACGGAACGCCTGGGCAATGCGCACTGCGCTGACCCATATCTTCGAGAGTGAAGAGGTTTGCGTAAGGACATGATGTAACCGAGGCCCGGCGAGTGGCGACAAAGTCGCAGTTTGAGTTCTGGCTGACACCCTTTTTGCCAGCCCTGCCTAGCTATGTTTGGCAATCGATGTATCGTGTATATTTGTTCAGACTGAAGAGGCCTTGCCGGGCGACTGACGGGTGACGTCACGTCTCGTCTGTCGGTCAGCTTGCGTCCTGTTTGGCGCGGCCCGTCTCTGCCCACGGTGACGTCATAGGGTGGACTCGACCTACAAACGGCCACCGGGCTGGGAGAGGACGAGACGGCGTCGGTCGTGTGAACACCTCGAGCGGTGCACCAACCGGCATTGATGTCACCATTCATCACCTATCATCACCATCCATCACCAGTTATAGAAGCTCGTTAGCTTACAACAGCGCGTGTTTAGCGGTGCCGCTCGGTGCCATTTGCGCAGCCATTGGCAGCGTTGTTGACGCTCCGACTCGCAGCCCCCACAGGCCGTCCGCGCCGGCCCGGCCGTGACCCATTGACAGTGACCCAGTGACTGGAGCTCTGGCTGGGCCGTGCTGGCCCGCGCCGCCGCCGCCGGCCCGCCTGGCGACAGCGACTGTGTTGGTGAGCGTGACCCACCCCGCACGAGCGTCACCGTCACCGCCGCCAACGCCGCGTGGTTTCAAACCACCACACCACACCGCCGCCGGCTGTGAAAACCGCTCGGGGTGCGCGCGTGTCTGCTGTGGTACCAAAGTGCCTCGTGAGGAGTCCCTCGTCCCAAGCCGCTCGCCGGTTAGAGAGTGGGTCAAGGCTGCGTGACTCATGTCCATCAAACGATGATGATTACGGGTGGCGTGCGAGCTCTGCGTAGATTTCACCCATTGATTTGGCATGGTGTTCACGCTCATTTGGCCGATTTTCTCTACATTGATATCGATATGAATCTGCAGGGTTTTTTTACTGTTCGTTACGAGTGACATTGAGCGTGCGGGGTGCGTGCGCGCGCCCATCGCGTCCCACTATCGGCGGACGGATCGGTCGGCTGGATGAGAGGGAAAGCGGCCGACCGGTGCGTGCCCGGCCGGCCGGCGGCCCGCACCGGTCGCCGCGGCGCGCTGCACCCGGCGGCCCTGCCCCAAATCCCGGCGTGGCCCAATAAAATATAGTTACAATGTCAGGGGCCCGGTGGACGGCCAAGGTCGCCGCCAGGTGCCGCCTGAAGCGATCGATCCTGGACCGGGTGCACGGTGATTGGTCAGCTTGAACTGGACCGGATTAGAGAGAGGGGTGGGGGCGGGACCGGTGCTTAGCTACTGGGTAAACTAGTTATTAACCGCTGATTGCAGGTAAATGGAGGTGCCCGGAATCGTTTAGAGGATTTACTGTCCGTTGTCTATGAATTACGAAAACTATGGACAGGAACCGACATATGATTTATCTCAAAGCGATCTTAGCTAGACGCCGACGCGATTTCATTTTAATGCCTTATACGGAATATCCGCGACCGGACCTTGTCAATATCTAACAAGGTTTGCAAAAGACGCACTCGGTGTCCTCGTCATCCGTTCAAAGTGCATGGCCAGGGCTCGTTAATTTCCAACGGAGCCACACCTTCCCACTGTTGTGTTTGCCGGACGGCGCGGAGCCGGTGGTCCCCGGTACAAGGTGGTGGTGTCGGGAGTAGCAGCCCCCCCCCCCCCTCCATTGCAAATGACCCGATCCATGACAGAGCGCGCAGTAGATCGACCCGGTGAGCGTGGATCGACCGAGCAGTGGTGTGGAGCGACGCTGAGGTGTCCGTCAGACTTCCGCGGACGGCGGCACGGGTAGGATATGGTGGCAGACTGAGGTGACAGACTGACAGACTGACACTGGCAGATCGGTGGTCTGACAGAGAAATGATATGTCTGGCGTGGCAGAGAGTCTGATCTAGGGGGCGGAAGTCTGACATCCTGACAGACTATCTGACGCTATGCCAGGTCGGCGCTCGCGACGGGCGAGCAACGTGACAAGACGATGCGACTCAAATTAACCAGTGACTATCCACCAGTCTATCCTCGCATCAGTCTTTGCGGCAAAGTGGGACCCAATGTGGAGACCTAGCAGCCACCTCACTGTAAAATTTCACCACAAAATATAGATTTTAAACAGACGACTACGAAAGAGACAAAACTCTTCCGAGTAACACACCTTCTGGAAATGCACCGTATACTCGCATCAACGTCATCATACGGGGGTGTGGGGGGGGGGGGTGAAAAATCGTCCCCTCTGCCAGCCGACCGCCCTATAGTGACGACGCGGGCCCGGATATCCCTAGCACTTACAAGGCGTAATAAGCATGATGAGATGCCTCATTTTACGAGCATCGTCACTTCACAAGCATGGTGGACATTGAAATGCCAAGAATGGTGTCTTTGCCAGTTTTTTTTCTTCCACCATATTCACAGAATTGTCGCACGGACTGCCATAAGTGACGTTTCGGATAATTGGCTTTCTATGTTTAGGAAGAGAAAGAAATATAAAACCAAAACAATGTCATGGCGTTGGCGTTCCTGACAAGGTGCCATGAGGAGCCGGACTGGGTCGTGCCACTGTCGCTACCACTGCCTGAGTCACGGCGACACCTCGCCCGGCGGGAAGTTGCCAAAGGTTAACGGGCTGACAGATGATTTCGGCGTCATGCTCGTGGTCGCACACGTCGGCACTGGTAAGCAATATGCTTGTGCCGAAGTGATGCGCGGTTAATTTCCACACTGCATCGACTTTGGAGGATGTGTATTTTATGCCGCTGCTGATATTGCAAGTGTCCCTGAGTCACTTTGCGTGCGATGGGTGGGGGCTCTTGTTAGTGAACATGGGATCTAACTGCTGGCCGCGCGGCCGTGGGCCGTTTGACTGACCTGCTAGGGTCCGGCTGCTTCGCTGGGTCCGGACCTGAAATACAGAGAAGTAAATGTCAGTCTGGTGTATCCCACTGCGATGGGTGGCACTCTCTAGACACTGGCAGAGGTCAGTAGCGGCGGAACACCTTCAATTAAGGGGGGGGGGAGGGCACTGCCGACTTTTGGTCCCATTCTTTCCATGCAACGTCCATAGGGCTAATGTTAAAGCGGCAAAATCAAGGGGGCACGGTGCCCCGGTGCCCCCCCCCCCCCGTTCCGCCGCCTCTGCCAGAGGTCGTACGCAGTTCAGTGGCATATCGTGGATGCCGGATGGTAGTATAGCTGCCCGGGCATCCAAGAGCTGTCACAGACATCCAATGACTCTCCACCCGCATTGACCGTGCAAATAGCACGCGTCATGGTTTCCCGTTCCCTTCTACCATTACGGAGCCCGGCGCAGGATCGCTCGGCACTCACGGAAGCGGTGTGCGTCGCTCGGGTCTCCCCGGCGGGACGGCAGCTCCCAGAGCTCCCCGCCTTCTGCACCAGCTCATTACGGCCGCCGGCGGTGTCGCCGGACTGCAGGTGCGGCCGGCAGTCTCCGGCAGCCCATCGGACCGTTGCCGTGCCTCGTATCCCCGGGAAACCGCACGCACGGAATCGATGGTAGGCTGCCGCGCCGGCCTCCGTCCCGCCACCCAGCTAGGGTTTCTTACTGTCGCTCAGGCGGCAGCGGCTGGGCGCAGCTCAGCGCCGCCGGGACGCCCCGGGGCTTCACGCACAGAGTGCGGGCGCTGCACGCGTATAACCGGGTCAGCGCGCCCCGCGGGCGAGGGCCCCGCAGCCGCTCACGCACTGGGCCGTGCAGAGCGCCAGATCAGCAGATAGGGCCGGCGCTTAGACCGGCCCGGCTGGAGGACACGGTGGATGGGTACGCGACCTCGGAGGGGTGCGTGTGCATGGGACTCACATTGGTGAACTCGTTTACGGTTGGTCCGTAGCTGTTACTATGATTTAAAGGTAGTGTGCCACCTTTGAAAGATTTCCCATTTTATTTTTCCTAGGATAAGAAGCTTCTGTTTTTACCTAATATCGCAAAAAAATAAAAATGGGCCTGGAATAGTGCCTTTTTCGCCTAAAAGTTTATCGGTTTTTCGATATGCATAACAACTGTAGTGGGCTCACCTGGGGCGTTCCACGACAAATCGACAAGTGCCCTGCACCCTCATATTTTATTTTTTGCTTAAAATTGGTCTAATGGGTTGTGATGGGCGGGGAAGCCAGCTGTGGCAAGGATTTTTTTCTTCGAACAACGGTTTCCGAGATATAGCCTCGGGCAATTCTTGGAGTTCGCGCTGCAGCCCTATGTTTGGCGGCCTATAACTCAGAAACTATTGGTTTTTACGATAAAAACTTCATATAGTTCAACTCACAATCAACCAACAAACATTTTGGCTATCTCGGATTTTCAATTTTTGAAAATTTTGATCACGTGACCTTTTGTCCTATTTTTCGAAGAGTGACCTTGATATTTTCCCCACTGAAAGTTGCAATTGTGTCTGATGACGATTAAAGCCTTATCAATTTTCATTCATATGCGATAATAAAAAAAGTGGTTATCGCCCTGCGTTGACCTCAGGTTAGGTCATTTTTATGACCTGTCCATTATTACGAGCGGGAGCGACAGCGAGATCTCGAGAATAAAGCAAGATAGCGACAAGCGGTAAACGGTAAAGGGTACACACGGATAAAGTGTATAATTTTTACTGAGGTCATTTTCAGGTCAGGTCAAAGATGACGTCACAGGAGCTAAAAGGAAGTGAAAATAGCGGCACTATACATATATATGAAGTTTTTCTCGAATAACTTTCAAGGTATCCCAGCCAGGAACAAACTAATAGCACCATCGTGATCCTCTCGTCGATCCGCATCGAAACATATGTATGTTGACCTCGAAAGGTCGAAAGGTCAAAAGTTGACCTGAGGTCACGTGATCTAAGGTCAACTTTTGACCTTTCGACCTTTTGAGGTCAACATATATATGTTTCGATGCGGATCGACGAGAGGATCACGATAGTGCTATTAGTTTGTTCCTAGCTGGGATACCTTGAAAGTTATTCGAGGGAAACTTCATATATATGTATAGTGCCGCTATTTTGACTTCCTTTTAGCTCCTGTGACGTCATCTTTGACCTGACCTGAAAATGACCTCAGTAAAAATTATAGACCTTATCCGTGTGTACCCTTTACCGTTTACCGCTTGTCGCTATCTTGATTTATTCTCGAGATCTCGCTGTCGCTCCCGCTCGTAATAATGGACAGGTTATAAAAATGACCTGACCTGAGGTCAACGCAGGGCGATAACCACTTTTTTATTATCGCATATGAATGACAATCGATAAGGCTTTAATCGTCCTCAGACAAAATTGCAACTTTCAGTGGGGAAAATATCAAGGTCACTCTTCGAAAAATAGGACAAAAGGTCACGTGATCAAAATTTTCAAAAATTGAAAATCCGAGATAGCCAACATGTTTGTTGGTTGATTGTGAGTTGAACCATATAAAGTTTTTATCGTAAAAAACCAATAGTTTCTGAGTTATAGGCCACCAAACATAGGGCTGCAGCGCGAACTCCAGGAATTGCCCGAGGCTATATCTCGGAAACCGTTGTTCGAAGAAAAAAAATCCTTGCCACAGCTGGCTTCCCCGCCCATCATAACCCCTTACACCAGTTTTCAACGAAGAATAAAATATGAGGGTGCAAATTTGATTTTTTATTTGTCGATTTGTCGTGGAACGCCCCACCTGCAAACAGGCGTCGGCAACAATCGCGAATGCGGCGCACATGTGACAATAAGCAAAGGTCATTATAGAGTTACGACGTACGGGAATGTCTAATCGTAGACAACACAATATCGAGCCTTAAACTGTAAGCCTGTATTGGTATTGTTTCTTTTATTTGGCTGTCGAACATTATTTATGGTTTGAAATATGATTTCATGTAAAATAATTGATATGAAAAAGCCGTCTCTTAAGTTATGACCCCATTTCACCACACGCAAGTGGCAGAAATGACAATGATCAGCTGACGCATTTTTCTTGGCCGAAGTCAGAGCGCGCGGCCCGACGCACCACCACCGCACCACAAAGTATGAGCAGGAGCCGCGCCCAAAGCCAGGGCCCCGGTAACGTGAGGTAGCCGAGTCGGGGCAGCGTGCGCTGACCCAAGCCGGGGCCGCGACTTTGGGCGCGGTCTACCGCATCCCCGCGGGCAGCCCCGGGCTATCACATGACACCGGGAGGACGCGCGGCCCCGGCTTGGGTCAGCGCACGCTGCCCCGACTCGGCTACCTCACGTTACCGGGGCCCTGGCTTTGGGCGCGCTCTACCGCACCACCTAACAGGCGTGTTCGAAACCGCAGGAGATGATGATGAACGGGTTTATCGAAACTTGATTGGATGAGCATATCGGTAATAGCGATTTCAGTGCGTGCATTTATTGTTCATAGTGGTGTGAAATGTGGTTGGGGTACGACCGACAACCCGTCGGGGCGAATTTCGCACTGGGGTACTCAAAATTTGAAGAATTTAAGACGTTTTCATGAGTTTTGAAGGTATGGATAAGTTCTAAAAATCCGGTTCTCTTTATCTGGGCCATTAACTCCATACGGTCCAGGAAAGCTGGCACACTACCTTTAACTTTCTGCGATGTGCAAAGTCCAACAACATATGCAACTGACAACATGCGCTTTTATGATATTGTTTCATCGTACCACGAACTACGCAACTGTTTGGTCAAAAAGAAAAATAAGTGGGCATTACAAAATATGTGCAAAGCCTCATCATACAGCAGAAGGGTAGATTATAACAGCGAAAGTGCGTATGTTTTCTTATCGATCCAAAAGCCGATGATGAAAGCGAGGACTTATCTGAAAACGCGAAAAACACTTCAGCGTCGGACACGCACAGAAGCGTCTGTTCCGAAATATATCCTAATCAGCTAATCACCCTACCAATCGTGGACTGTCTCACATGTGCCTCTGCGAGGGTGCGAACTTCAGATGCAACCATCGATTAGTGATAACAAGAGAGATCCTTGTAACGAGCCGTGCTCTGAAATATCCATTTCCACATCGCCGGTGCGCCGGCGGCGGTGTCTGCGGCTCCGACCGACCGCGCTGGCCGCACCGCGAGTAACCCTCGCTCCGGCTGACCTTGTGTGGACCTTGGCCGTCCGGATTGACCCACAATGGAGCGGCGGCCCGGCCGGTGAGCGAGCGAGCCGCCCCGGCGGCGACCAGCGCGGCGCTCTGCGACCTTCCAGACCGCCCAATTCGGGCGCTGCCTGCACCTGTTGCACGGCGGGCTGTGTGACAGGGCCGGGCCGGGCCGACCAGCCGCGGCGCCCGCGGTCAATGGGGACCACACGGGCCCGGCGACCTTGGGAGGACCTGCACGCAGGCTCTGCAGGACAGGGAGAGATCCGCTCCGCGGGATCACTGCAGGATCGATGGGGGTCCGCCGCCGCTCCAAGCCAGCTACAGAGCGGACGCTGCATTACGCGACTTGTCGACATGCCCGCTGTCGGCTGATGTTGTAACTGATCAGTTGGATTATGATAGAACATGCTCTGACTATCGAAATGTCTCGACACATAAGTGAACTACGGTAATCCTTCATAAGGATTTCTAAGGCTCCATCTTCCATAAAGGCATGGCCCTAAAGCAAGGAGCAAAAAAAAAAAAATGTCGAGGTATGACCGAATTCAGAAGCAGCTCTGGTCAAAATTTGTCAATTCAAGTCACCTTGTAATACACAACAGCCATTATCTTCATCTAAGCGTCACCGAGCAGAGTTCGAACAGCTCTACTCTTTGTCGCTGGATCTGGAGCTTTCCCGGTGATCCACGAGCGCAGCCCGCCGATATGGGTGAATCAGCGTCTGTCCCAGTCCGACCCAACCCGCATGCTCTGATGCCGCCCGCGCACAGCCGACCTTGACACAATTAACGCCGCCAACTTGCACAAAAACACCCGATGGTGGCCGAGCTATCGTCGCACGAACAGCGCCAATGTCGGCTGATGCAAATTAACGCCGGTAGACCTGTCAAAGCAATCCAGGTGCCATTCAGTAGCCAGGTTTTTGTACGGGGAAAATCTGAGGTCACGCTCGCAAAAAGACACCTGTGTGGCTTCCACCTGGACTTTGTGCTGACGAGCGTTTGTGGCAATCAAAACTAACGACTTAACAACCCACAAAGAACACAAGCGGGCCTTACTTGCGTTTCTGCAGTTCTGCGTGTCCGGCACAGGACAGCATACCGAGGCGGGCTCCCGGGCCGCGCGCCGTCCTGTCGTCTTCTCTCCTCTCCTGCCTGGTCTGTGTCCGGTTTGGTCCCAGTCTCCGGCCGCTCCGTCACACCACTGCGCCGCACTGCCGGAGTCACGTGCTGCGCGCGTCACCGTCGCCGAGCAGGAGCGTCACGCGTGCTAGCTCTGCCGCCTCGCCGGCCACACTGAGCGAGCCGGCGCACTTTCACAGCGGCCTCGCGCGCCGGCCGCTGCCGCCGCCACCGCCGCCGCCGCAGCGACGCAAGGTCGAGCGTCGCGGTCGACCCGCGCGACCCACACCGACCTGGAGCGACCCGCGGCGACCCGAGCGGACGGGCGTGACCTGGGGCGAGCGGGGAGGCTCCAAGTGGCTTCATTAGTGTGATTGGAATGTGATGGGATGAGTTAGAGTTTGCGCCGGAATTGATGTTACGCCGGGAGAGTATCAACTACTGATATAAAACCCCACTATTTTTTATAATTAAACATTTGTAGGAAAAGGAGGACCAGTCGTCATAGTATGAGGGAAACTCTCATTTACCTGTCCTGTTGTCTTTAACCTGTCCTTGTAAATGTCAAATCCTTCGTCCCAGAATTCAGTAAGACGTTCATGAGAAACGTACACCACAGCTCAATTACAAGAAACTTAGCAATGTCACAGCAAGGAATCTCTAATATGTATCCACAGTTTTCGCCTACGATAGTGACAAAACTGCAGTCATTTATTGATACTTTTTTCATTGCGCTCAAGAAATCAATCCACTTCATTAATGGTAGCCGACAACAAGGCATTACTTTGAACTATATGGAACGTCCTGCACTCTTAGTGCACTCTAGCTGAGACAGCCCGGTCACCAGCAGCTCATCAGCTCATCGAATCCGACGTGTCCGGTCGGCTCGAATCCGACGTGTCCGGTCGGCGGCAGTGCGCTGGCGCGCCGGCAGACCTCTCGAGTGGCTCGGTGAATGTATGTATCTTATGTCCGGTGATCCCGAACCGTCAGTACCTATCCCACGCACTTGTTCTCACCAGCTGATATTGACTCACGGGCTGTGAAACAAAACACACCCGTCCTTCCGCAAGTCTGACGCATAGATGGGAAACTCTGCAACAACGGCGGATAAGGTTGCACTCTGGATTTTTCTCTAGTTGGCTGCGGCATTCGAACGGCTTGTAATAGCTCCACTTGTCAACGTTGCCGGTGTGAAATTCGGCCTGCTGAACACATTTGTAATGTGACGCGGTACTGTCCTGGCTGACTTCTGAACCAATCACCGAGACGCTGAGTGATGGCTGTGCTCCGAGCCTGTGTCGTCATGGATTTCCAAGTCTGTGACGTCGCGGGTGTCAGGGTGCGGTCTCTGAGACTGGAGCCGCCGCTTCCTTGCCACGCGGCACGTGCCAGCTCAGGTTTGGGAGCGGGTGTGTCGGGCCCGGGGCTCAGCGACAGAGCAGTGGACACATTCCGGGGTCTCAGACCTGGACAGTCAGCTCGGACCGGGCCGGCCACAGTAACCGACGGCAAATGATGCTGTCTGCCATAAAATGCTGCAGTCTGCACAATAAGATGGACCTCCCAGTGCATAGCCGCCGAATCGGCAATCGCCATGGGCCGGCGATCCTCAACGGGTCGCGACGTGTTGGGGCGAGCAGCCAATCAGGCGTCAGCTGGAGGGGTCAAGGTCACGGTCAGTGGTCGGCAGGGCCGCCACGTGGCGAGCAGGGATTGGTCATTGCGGTGGCGACCGGTCACTCTGACCGGCGGCGGTAGGTGAAGGCCATCCAATGGTCGCTTAAAAACGGCGTTAGCAGCTGTCCAGTGTCTTGTCCCAAGTGGGCGACCGTGGTCAACGAAAAATGGTAATCCTGCCGGTATTTGCCGAACAGTATGTGCCTAGTAGCCCAGTGTGTATGAAAATGTGTGTGACATTCGAGGATACTGCCAGAAGAAATATCATTTTCCTGAAGTGAATGTTTAATTAGGTACTCGTTTTATTTAATGGCCCCGTCCTGTGTGCTTTCTAGTTTTCCAGCTTTGTAGCGTTTATCTAAGTCATTCAAACACATTTTAGTATCCTTGGTTCTCATTGACAAACATAAACATAAACGTCAGTGACAAACAAGCAACAACAGCCGTAAAATGGCAATCGAAAGGCCAAATTAGGCTGTAATTCGCATGTAGCACTGTCTGTGGCAGGATATTTGTTCTAACTTCTGACTGACGTTCCGGCCATTGAACCTTAGCACCTGTCTAGGCTTCATGTCGCAGCAACCAGCAAACTGCGGTTCCTGGACTATGGGAAAATGTCAGAGCCCTTGTAGCGAGATGACTCGGCCCTGTAGCACTCGATGCTGGTCGCGGTTAAATAACGGCCAGTGTATTTCAAAATCAATTATTGATATTATCAGCCGCTGGAAAAGGGTAATCGGGAAGGACGGTGCTCGGAAAACTGTTAAGTTCCTTCAGAGTTGGGTGGTGAAAAAACGCGAAACGATGGTGGTTGTCCTTCCCCGGTGACTCGGTCATTTAGGTTTTATGTTGCGCCTGAATCGTGGCGGTTGTGGACAGGACAATATGGCTTATGCATGAAAATGAGCGCCAATTTCGTTCCATATTTTTCTCGAAAAAGCCAATTTCGTCGTTTCATATGCGTAGTTTCATATATCAAAGACAGAGCAAGATTTACTCATGTCACATGTGTATTGGCCCATTTTCAGACAAAGCTTCATCGCCTCAACCTGCCATTCCAGCTCGGTCGCACTAAAATTGCTATCAACCCTAAGCATCGTGTCTTCATTATCGTCGATTTAATGACGCTTTTATTATTTGCAATTACACATGCTATACTTCTTGATGAAACCATAGAAATTATTTACATAAATTGTTATACGTCACTTATTATATCGTCACTTGCAGGTATCCAAGACACCTACAAGTCATGAACCATCTTATGCCATCATAGTTGGGCGCAAATATTGGCATAATTTCAGACTTACCTCTTAAATTTAACCGACTCGACTGATTCTAGCTGAGACGATGACCTAATCAAGTGTGCATTTCTGTGGGTTCTGCCACCTTTTGATTCGACCCAAGCCATTGTGGTCAGTTGATATTGATCGACGCGCAAATAGCGCCCAGGAGCCCCGATCAGCGGAGCAGGCTGTATTCACTCGGCCAGCTATTGATTGTGCCCATAACTGGGTGAATTGGCCCAGGCTGATGTCTTCTGAGAGTAATAAAAAAACGGCAGTTGCTAGGGTAGATAGCTGAGTGCTGTGCGGTTTTAATGTGATTCCGGGTATTGGTGACATGAAGTTGCAAACGGCTAATCGACGCATATGAAAAGGTCCCACAGCGCACTTCGAGGGTTAAAGCGTCATTAAATTAACTCGAGCGCTTTATTCTTATGTCTAGACATTAAATTCACGTGATGACAGAAACGTTACAGATGAATACGTTAGCTAACTGCCCGGTCTGAGTGATTTGGCTATTTCTTTATATGAACGGATCATATTTCCTTCGTGAAAATGACATATTCACCTTGACCGTCACATACTGCAGTCTCCTGGCAAATCATCTGCTTAATTCATTCATTCATTTATTATTGGCACATTACCTTGACAAAACTTTGTTGACCGTGAGACGCGGGTCCAGCATGGAATTCCTGTGTGTAATTACAGGGTGATATTGCAAAAGTTCACAATATCCAGGTGTATCATATTGTGAAACCTCCGGCTAACCAGGCAGTACGTTTCCACGGAACGCCTGTAGGTCACGTTGTATAACCTTCCGAAGCCATCCACCACAGAAGTATGCATCAATAACCGATCACGGCCGGCCGGTCACGACCGGCAGCGCCGGCCCGTGAGTGGTTTTCCGTGTGCCGAGACCGATCACGACCCGACCGACCCGGCCGCGTCGCTGAGCGGGTCGGACGGCGGTCGCCAGCGGCCGACGTGGCTCGAACGGCTGTCGCTATTGGCACCGACGCAACGACCCCGGGCAGGGGTCAGCCGACGCCCGCAGGCGGTCCGAGCGCCGGATATAGTGGGATGACGCTAAATAGGATTGTGGGAGGGAATGCAGACGGCGGTTGACGCGTGTGCAGTGTGCACTTCGCGGGTCATAGATTTATATAAGAGGCTGGGTTCAGGTAAAGGAAATAGCTCAGAATTTCCCAGTCAAAGGCTCAACACTACAAGATCTTACGAATGCTATTTATTTGGATCATTAAAAGCTCGATTAATCTCTATTTCACCCCCGCCTCTCCCTCCTTAAAATTCTGGCTACGAGGCCTTGCTAAATAGCGACAAGGTGTAAGCTGTAACTTTTGCAGCGTGCCAGTCCTATTAAAATTACACTGAAGGCCATCCACATGTCACGGACGAGTGATCGCTTTTCTAATGACCACAATGGTGAACTGGAAGTTGCTTGGCTACATGGGTAAACAATCCTGCCCTGTTCCTGAATATCGCGCAACGCTGCCCTGAGAACCGCGCTCTAAACAAAATATATTACCGCCATGAACCTTTTGTCGTAGCAGCGGCGGTTGGCGTGGTTTTCGGGTCGTTGTTGTTTTATGAGGATGATTTATGGCAGAGCTATGTGCTGTGTTCGTAGACCGTAACGACCGGCGATTGCAGACATCTGCTGTCGGAGCGACATACGAAAATGTCATTGACGTCCAGCGCCGCTCGCCGGGCCTGGCTGAGTGCCTCCGTCCCTTCTCGCCTATAGGTTTTGTTGTTGGAACTTGAGCCGGCATACAAAAGCTGTCGAGTGTCGAGAGTGGAGACCACGGCTGTGACGGCCGCTCGCGGGGTGTGGGTGAGACCCTGCCTGTCTGGGCAGGGCTGTCGGACCGACACACGAAACTGTCGACCACGGCTGTCACAGCCGCTCGTCGGGTCTGGGTGAAACCCAGCCCACCCTAGCTGCAATATCGGAACTCGAACCGTTGTTCGAAACTGTCGATCGCGTCTCGGGCGGACCTGGGGAGCCCATGTCGGCTCGGTGATTACGTGACAAAAGATCGTAAGACAAAAGATCGTATGAAAAAAGATCGTACGAAAATGATCGTAAGATAAAGATCGTATGTTGTAAAAGATCGTACGGTAAAAAGATCGTAAGCAAAAGATCGTAAAGCAATTGATCGTATGCAAAAGATCGTA